ACTGCCTGCTTGTAACAACTACTCTAACAGGAATCAGCCCCTCCGTCTGCAGCAGAAAACGTTCCTCAGAGGCCAAACGCACCTCCCCAAAACCCATGTGGGATCTGAAAACCCGACTAACGCTAGAAGTTTGTGAGACCATTTTTCTTAGGGCCTGAGCGCCCTGTGTCGTGTTTGGGGGCTCCTCTCGGCGATGGGAGGCTGCCGTCAGTGCGATGCTGGAGGGGACCGGGGGCCCTGACGCCGCTCACCGGCCCCGCCGCCGGACCGGCGCTGCCGAAACGCTCCCGCCGCGAAGCCGCCGCTCTGCTCGGGATGGCTGGAGAGCCCCAGAGGGAAAGCAGTACTCGCAGCCTCCTGACCCACGGGCAAGGGACTCCCGGAGAAAACCTCCCTCCCAAAGGGATGCTCTAGCAATAGTGGGGGCGCTCACACCTCTCCCGAACTTCAGCCCCGCGCCCCGGCAGAAACCACCGCCCGCCGGGGCCGCGCACACTCGACGATGCTCGGCCGGTCCGGGGCGGCAGCCACCGGTGTCCCGGCGCGGTAGCGGCGAGCTCCCTCGTCCGTCGCCCCAGCCACTCACCCCACAGCAGCAGGACGGGAAGCTGCCGCCGACGGCTGCCCTGCGCCTCCATCCCGGCGAGGGTCCGCGAGGGACAGAGCCCGCATGGGGCGGCCGGTCCGCAGCCGCGCAGGGACCAAGCCCACCTCAGCTCCTTCACCGAGGAGGCTCCTCTTCATGCCTCGGCGTCCAGCCTCGGGCGGGAGCGGGGGCGGAGGGGAGCAGCTCCCCCGCCTCGGGTGCTCCAGGCCGGGGGGCGGGCCCGCGGCCGGGGCGGGGCGCGGGAGGCTGGAGAGTGTGCACGTGTGAGTGTTGTGTTTGCGTATGCATGCACACAGGGAGGGCCGTGCCTCCAGCTCCTCCAAAAGCCACGGCAAGGATGCTGCTCCCAATCCACCGGTCTGGATGGGTGTTTGGGGGGTAGGCACCTACCCCGCACGGGAGAGGTTCTGGTCCTAAGTGTCCAAGGGGCTCAGTGACTCCTCACTTCCTGCCGTGGGAGCCACAGCAGCCTCTCCCCTCCTGTTACAACATCCTGGCGGTGGGGGTGAAGGCATGAGGGGCTGAAAGGACACCTGTGTTAGTCCACCTGCAGCCCTTTCAGTTTGGCTTGCACGGCACTGACATGCTAGCATGCTCAATATTTACAGCTGAACGTGGGCAGCGAGATGGCCTGACTCCATACAGACTCAGAGCAGCTTGGAGCTCTAAGAAGATGCTTAATGTGGTTTTTTATTGCCATTTCATCTTTGTATAGCTCTTTTCAGAGAATGGTTTGGCTCCTGATTTTCATCAATATTTAAAGTCTGTGTTCCTGGAGCTCTCTCTCTAGGCAATTAGCATCTCCATCAAGAAACACCAGACTGAGAGGCTGATAAAGAAGGCTTTTCTTAGCTAAAAATAATTGTACTGCTCAGTAATAAAGAACCAGAGAGTTTTTCTAGGTACATGGACGCTCCACCAGTAACTGCCTTTCAGTAGAACATTAAGTCACTGCCATTATTAAAGGTCAAATGTACCATAAAACTTCAAATTTCAAAAGAGATTTTCAAGCCATACACAAGAACAGAGGGTATTTTTATGTATCAGTCAGGTTGTTCCCATTGACTTTGTATGCTTGAATAGCACAGTGTTTCCAAACACCCAGGTCAGAATTATGCATTGCATGTGCCTTCATAAACAAACTATTCGATACACAACCTTTGTCTGATTTACGCTGTTATCTAGGCTGAAGGAAATGGAAAACTTTGGAAACTACAAGTGTGTTAGTTAGAATGAACCTCCTGTCATCTGTGTGCTACTTTTTCCGCTTAGCTGGAACCAAATCTTGTAAAATACCATAAATAAACCATAGCTCAGGGAGATCATCCTTCAGCGAAGGGATTGCCATTTCTGCTTTGTAAGGAGTGTTTGCAAGCTGCTCCTGCCAGAAGGAACTCCAGGAAAGTGACGAGCATGAAGGTACATACACCATAGTCTTGTTATACCATCTATAGCATCCTTCCTAACAGTAAGATTTTCATTTCTGTCATAAATTCTGTTACTAGCAAATCTAAAGTTACAATTAGTATTTTCAATAATTTAGACTGATCTTCAGGAGCTTTAGCATGTATTGTGCTTCATACACATTATTATACATTAAAATATTTACGGTATATTATGCAGCATACAGCATACAGGCAATATTTTTTTGTAACACACGTGAAGATGATGTTGACAGTTTTCTTCTACATCTTTCGTATTCATTTTCTTCACCTGTTTCAGATGAGAAACTGGCAAATTTTAAAAGGGAATGTTACTTTTTCCAGCTCAAGATTCCACAAGCACTTCCCATTTTGTGCTTGCAGCACGTAGTTTGAAGGTGCTTTTTAAATTAGTCCACTTAACTATAAATTTTATCTCTAAACTTACCTATAAATTTATAGGTAAGTGGCCTAATTCAGCATGTTGCATTGGATGACAAGCCAACTATGCTAGATGATATCTTCAGCAAAGTGGTCTACAGTGAGCAGTCTGATTCACAGGTGTATTTGAACAAAACTCTCACAGCATTAGAACTGTCAGCAATGTGGTTCAAAACTCAACAGGAGTTGGTGCCCACTCCTCCCTACTGCCCCCTACCATTGAAGTAATTCAAATAGATGCACTTCAGAATGATCATGAACCTTTTTGTTCTGCAAATCTGCCTTGGTAACATCATGGAGCTACACCAGAAGTAGAAATCCAATTCACTTTCAAATAAGTGATGTTGTAAATGCCATTTGCTGTACAAAACTCTGAATCCCATCCCTAAACAACACACACTAACAATGACCTCAAAACCGTGGTCTGCTGTAATTTCCAGACATACGACCTCCAGAGATCACACTAACTCCTTTTCAGGTACCCTGAAGACACTGCTGCAATCACATTGCTTCAGAAATTGTTCTGAAATGCTTAAATCTGCTAATTAGCCACTGACTAAAAGAAAATATAGCAATAGACATGTTTGTAGTTGTTTCAGTATGGGAAGGTTCATGAGGAGTGTGAGGTGAGAAGAGATGGAAGAAGTCAAGCCATCCAGGAAAGGTATTAGTGCAAGTGCTATGGTGTTCAGGGTGGTGCAAGATAAGACGATAAAGTTTCCTGCTCCAGAGGTTAAACTGATCAAACAGAAACTAAAAAATAAAAAAATAATAAAATAAATTAGGAAAAAACCAAAGATGACACTATGGAAAGCAACATTGCCTTTCCTTGTCACCACAAGTGTTGGCCCAAAGAGAGCAGCTGCTTGCCTGCATGGAGAGACTGCCCAGCGCTGGATGGAAAGTTTTCTTCATCTCTTCCTAGTACAGCAATTTTGTAGAAAAGGTACATTAAGGTTTTAAGACAATGTTTTAATGGGATTGCTTGCTGGACTTAGGTTTGAAAAAGTAGGTTCAGTTCATCTGCGGTTTTAAGCTAAAGTAGGTCATCTTTCCCATTCAGTGCTCCTAGGAGTATGTCTTTCCTGCTCCAGAAAGAAAAAAAGGGGGGGGGGAGGAGGGGATCTGCAGGTCATTAAAATAATTCCTGTCTTTTTACCTTCAATATAAGAAGTGTAAAAACACGCTAAAAAAACTCAAAACCATAGTTAAAAAATAGCTTCTTCCTGTGATTCAAAGGCCACAGTGTGGTATATTGACTGCACATAACAGCCAAATTGATGTAAAATCAGTCAAATTTGATGAGCTGAAACCCTTTATGCCTGTATTACCTGAATTGAAGGCAGAGAAAAAAGGACATTTTTGTATGTAAAGACCTTGGGCTTTTTTACATAAGAGCAGACAGGGAAGATCACGAATATCTTGCCAGCCTTCTAAAATTTAATTTTTTAAGCCCTGTGTGAATGTGCTCTGTGATTTCAGCAGGGTTTCCATGTTCAGAGCAAAGCATCTAAGCAGTGTGCACATGTGCCAAAGTGCACTCTATTTCAGAGGTGCCAAGCTGTAAGTATTTATCACCTCTAAGACCATTTTATTTTACATACCTAGCCATGACATGACAGCCTTCCCAGGAGCACAGCATGTGGGCTTTGTTTGAAGCAAGCAGAATATTCAATTACTTTGTTTCCATACTGGTTTCTAGTACAGCAAATTGTCTTCATTAAAAAAAAAAAAAAAATCAAGGTACTTCTATATCCTGCACCATCAACACCAATACCTACAACTAATCAAAATTATTCCACAAGTGTCACGAAGCACATCAAGGGAAACCAGACAGATTTTATGGGATGATGGCAAACACCATCTTCCCTCTCTCTTGAGGGAAGCACCCCAGTCAAGGGTCCTCCACCAAGATGCCTGCCCCTTGTTTTAGAGCCAGCAGTGCAAAAGGCTCTCATTAAAGGACCCAAGCAAGAATCTGTAGGAACTGGGATGTCTTGCTGATTCCTATCTGTTGTTCTCATACCAAAAGAGTATCCCAATGCCACTGGTGACTATATGTCATGCACGTCATAATCTTCTCTTCCTGTTGTGCACAGCTATTCTTTTTCCACACCAGCCAAAGGTTTGGTGTAACAGAAAACCTTTGTAATTTGGCCCAGGGATTGGAAACAAATCACGCCTTCATTTTAAATGTAAACATTAGCAAAATGCACACAATGCTCTATTCCTTCTAGACTAAATAAAGCCAAAACTAATTTATGAGTTTTTAAACACTTCACTGTCAGTTATGTTCTAGAGGCCTTGACTTTTTATTCCAAAATGAATTTAGTTTTTCATGACAGGCTGAGCAGTTTGGAAAATGCTAGCAAGGAATATACAGACTGTCTCCCATACATAGTTGTGTCTCTAAGAAATAACTCAGCTTTGAAAGTCAGGGAGAAAGGTACAAAAAGAGAGATGGAAACACACATCTTTATTTGTTTCCTTGTAGAAATAATAACACTGTTTAAGTTATTTTCATACAAAATCTTACAGAGTTGAAGTCTGAGATATTATAGGATTGTGTTACCAGTAGTCTTACAGCCACCTGAAGGATATTTTATAACCATTGGAATTCAGCTGACTCCACAGAGATTGGTGAGACAGCAACATAAACCCACCTACAACAGAAAGCAGCAAAGCCTATTTGAATTCAGTCTGAGCCCAGGACTTCTGAATCCACATGTAGGTTCTGATCAGTTCAGTTATGAACCAGCATCTCCTTACCATGAAAACAGAATAATGGTCCTTCCCAAATGCACGAAAGACTGGCTTTAGGGCTGAGCAAGACAGGTCCTAGGACACTTCTTAAATGAGAAATCCCATAAATTTCCCTTCCATGGAAAAATGCAGCACTATATAAGATGGAAAATATTACCATAGTAAATAAAATGTTATTTGGTGGCACAAAATGAGTGCAATACATAACATTTCTAATTATCCAGTCCTAATTTCTAGTATAGTTGTCCTTCTAAAGTAAAATAGAAAATAATAATAAAAAAAAACCAAACCCACAACATTTTAATTAAGGCTGAGTTCAACTCACTGTTGCATTCACACAGTTAGATTTCTACCATAATAAATCATTCTATTTTAATCTTGTCATCTTTAGAGCCCCAAGGCAACCCCAGTTCATGCACAGACCACTTACACCTCTTTCACAGACACATTTCACAGCATGTGCTACAAATCATGTAAATTGTGAAAGCAGGCACAAATATTGCCTTGCAGTGTTTTACTTGGCCAATTTCCCTTGGAGTGCCATGGCACAGAGCCCCAGCTTCCATTACTCGAGGAGAAGACCTAGAGAGCTCTCCCCAGTGTCATGCATTCACTTTACTAGTACTACCTCCCTTTCCCCTGACTGAAACAAAATGCACAGTAAATATGAGACATTTGCAGAAAATTCATTGGCAGTGTGCTTAAAGCACATCACTGATTGTCACTGCCATTGAAAAAGGGGAAGGAAGGAAAGAAAGGTGATGTGTCAGAAAACACCTTTGTTTGTGTTTTCCATCTCTGTCATAGATCTGTCCAGGGATCTCAAATGTTCATAAGGGTTTTTTCACCCTTTGATCAAATACTTGGGATTCCTTCCAAATAACTTCAGTAAAGGAGACCAGTTATTTCCCCCACATAGGAATGAAACTAATATTTTCATTTATGAGTGGATCAATTGAAGGTTTAATTGAGTTTATTGCACTTACAGAAATGACAGCATCTGCTTGGGTTCTACTAACCTCAAATGACAGAGAATATCTCAGTGTGCCAAGTGACCACAACTCTCATTTGAGAAAATGATGTGTCTCAAACATCTGGAGCAGCACAAAAATAAGAACAGGACATGGATGGGAACAGTGGGTTGAAGATTTATCTTGGTAGCACTCACTCTCTTTGCTCTATATCAAACAGCAGTGTATGCAGCTGAGATGGGTGTGCTTAATTTGTGATTCACTGAGAATTAACCTAAATTTTAAGGAAATTCCTGCTATTACTAAGAAAAGTAAACTGTGTGTTTATGCATTAGTTAACACGGAATAATATCTACCCTCAAATGAAAGTATAAAATACAGACAGGAAGAAATATTATCTTTTAAAATGTTTAACTTTTATGAAAGGTTTTATTCTTCATAAATTTACCTTTAACAGAATATCTAGCCCTTCACATTTAATCAAATTGCTGTAATAATATCTCACTGTTTTTGACTCTAATAGTAAAGTCTTCTGCATCTTGTGGAATTACCAGTGAAATCCTACTCAGGATTTCTTACCATCAATTCCTTTTGTTTTAAATTTAGAAAAGATCAGAAACAACAAAATGAGATAACAATAGTTACCATAACAAGTCAAATTTACCGGATACTAAATTTTTCCATGGAAGGGAAGTGAACAACTAATTTAGATGAGCAAAAGTGCTTTAAATAATCTAGATTAACTGAGATAGGCAATTATTTTGTTGGTAGATACAGACATAAAATATTCCAAAGGTGAGCTATCTTTACCTTTGCCTCCAGAGATTTCTAAATCAGAGGAAGGATGTGAGTAAGTGGATGACAGGCAGAGCAGGTGGTGTACCACTGGCACACGTGCATACTTGGCGTTTCCAACTACTGTATCAGCTGGCTGATTAATTAGTATGATTTCAGGTGGAATTTACTGCTTGATTCTAGGAAGCATAGTACAGTGCTTCATAGTACAGTGGAGGAAGTGAGAGCTATCAGAAAATATGAAATCTCCTCCAGCCCAAAAGCAAAACCAAGACTTAAAGTTCACATCCATCAAAGCTTCAAATAAATATGAGTTTCAAAAACAACTCCAAACAGAACAGCTCAAAATAAAAACATAATTAAAATTACCCAAAAGTGCTTAAAGCACATGTTGGGAGAAAAAAAAAACATAAATATTTAATCAAAAACCAAAAACCGGTTCACACCCTAAATTAGGCAACTACTTTTAAAAGATTGTATTACCTCCAAATAGTTTAAACTTGTTCTGTCTTCTGCACATATGTCTCAGCTCTTTCTCTGTTGGAATCAACTCTGTTCATTTTTTTTCTACTCTCCAGAACATTGCTATTCTAATTCTGAATAAAGTAAGGGCATATGACTGAGCTTGTGAGAAAAACTGCATTCATCTGTTGAGACAGAAATTCCATCTCTTAAATTAATAAATTTCCTTTAACAGATTTCTTGTAATATTTTTTCCTTTCTGGAAGAAATAAATAAAAAGATCCGGCCTGGTTTTGGCTAGGATAGAGTTAATTTTCTTCTTCATAGCTGGTGCAGTGCTGTGTTTTGGATTCAGTGTGAGACTCATGTTGGTAAGACACTGATGGTTTAACTGTTGCTCAGCAGGGCTTACCCTGAGCCAAGGACTTTTCAATTTCCCATGCTCCATCAGTTAGCAGGTGAACAGGAAGCTGGGAGGGAGCATGTCCAGGACAGCTGACCTGCTGGCCAAAAGGATATCCCATACAATAGAGCATCATGCCCAGTATATAAACTGGGGGGAGTTGGCTGGGAGGGGCTGATCGCTCCTGGGGGAAGGGCTGGGCTTCGGGTGGTGAGCAACGGTACTATGCATCAGTTGTTTCTTTTGGGGTTTATTGCTCTCTGTCTCTTTTTTCCATTACAGTTGTCATTATCATTAGTTGTAGTAATAGTATATTTTATTTTGTTTTGATTATTCAACTGTACTTATCTTAACACATAAGGCTTACCTATTCTTTCCAATTCTCCTCTCCACTGGGGCAAGGGTAGTGAGGTAGCAGCTGTGTGGTACTTAGTTAGGGCTGCAGTTAAACAATGACAGATATTTTTGGTGCCCAACATAGGGCCCGGAGGATTGAGATAAAAACAGACCTGATCAGAGCATGTTAAAACAAATTAATTGCAAGCAACAATTGTATTGGTTTAGTAGTTGCTGGTTACCATGTTATTTCATTTGCATATGTGCTCACAGGCACGTTATATAACACCGCTCTCGGTGTATGTGCTCCCTGTGGTAATGTTTATCCTCGGTGGAGTCTGGGCTAAAGTTATAGTTTTGTTGTTCTCTGCCGTAGTGTTTTACGACATGATAGATTTGCTGGTCATGAACCTAATCCATGCTGGGCACTGCATCACTTCTGTACCTCGGGAGCCATCTCGTGGGAACTATTAACAATCACACCTTTTAACTGCTCCTCGTAGAGCCAAAAGGACCTTAATTTCTTGAACATTTCTTTCATTTGCCTGTTTTGCTGATTATGAGTATGACAGTTTGTGAGATGGGTTCAGGAAGCCTGAGCATGAGATCATTCCTTGGGTGAACACTTCCAAGGGTTTACATAAATCTGTGTTAAGAGGTGGGCACAGATGTTTCCTGCAATAATAATACACAGATTTACTTTTCTCAACTACTTTTTTTTTCTGGAACCTAGAAAATATTAATTAATTGATAGAAGGTCTTCCATTAAAGTAAACTTCAAAAGATGCTAATCTTCCTTAATAAACTATGGAAAAATGTGCTGTTCAAAGAGTAACTGAGAAGACTCAAGCAAAGAAGCATTAATATTATCTCAAGATCATATTAATGAATTTCCTCAATCAAAGAAATCCTTTGAAGGGAATTTTCTTGACCAGATAAGAGAAAGTAATTATCAGCGGGGAAAACTATATGGGTCACAGCAGATAGAATGCCAGAATCTACCAAGGAGAGACACCCTGTGGTAACAGCCTAAACTGTCATTCCTGCAGTCACCTGCAAAAGAAACAGCAGAGCAAATGATATATTGTGATTAAATAATTGCTTATAAAGCCATCTCTTTGAATCATACAGGTAACAACAGCACAGATCTGATATAAAAGTGCCATATTCTGTTTCCAAAGTGCCACTTACAAATTTAAGCTCATCTTTAAGCTCACAAATCAAAGTGTTGATCTTTTCTGTGCCTTTCTCTCCCCTTGCCTGAGATGTGACTGTCCATGCAGCTAGAGCTCTCATTCTGTCACATCCTGTATTAACTCAATTCACAATAAACACTTTTGCCATCAGTGTCAGGCACTCCCACCAGCTCACCACAATAAGGAAGTCCTACTGCTTTAAATTTGTTTTTTCAAATTTCCTGTCTTCACTTAAAAGATCCTTCAAAGCTGTTCCTCATCTGCCTTTTGTAGATGCCTTTGTACACTTACATTACCACTAGATCTCTCTAATTCCCAAACAAGGGATATGAAGGAAAAATTACTCTTCCCCAACTGTAGGAGCCACAAGAACTCACACCTGTAGATGTCATTGCAGCTTTGGTCAGATGTGGTATAATGATGTGCCCAAGCTGTGTGTTGAGGTCTCCTCACCTCCTCTGCTATACTCTGCTGCTCCCATGCAGAGAGGCCATGCTGCAGCAGAGGCCATGCAGCAGATGTGCCCCAAATGGCACCAAGTTAAGCTGGACCCTCTCTGCAGTTAAGAAAGCAGCTGAGCCCCAGGTGAATTGCTTAAAAGAAGTTCTACCCTCACCAGAGTAGAGGTGCTGCTCTATATTTCTCTGCATGTGGTCAGAGATGCCTCTGAAATGGCAGGATCAGGTAGAGTTGCTGCCAGGTAGGTAATTTTTCTAACGCAGTCAAAGGACAGTGAGGAAAACAGGGCTTTTTTTTTAGAGGGTTTCTTGATGATTCTCATGTGCGTTGGAAATAAACACTGACTGAGGGACTTTTCATTAGGATGTGCATGGTGCCTGGACATAACACTTTCTTTCAACTCTAACAGACCAGCTAAACATGCACCCTCTCCCTTGCCTGGTTTTATCAAAATGTGTTTTCCCTATATAGTTTAGTCTAATGGAGATGGGAGAAGATTGTGTCCATAGAAATAGGCTCAAGTGTAAGTACATGTGCCTTTATACTGGCAGCTCCAATGGACTGAATCTCAGGCTCAACTGAAATGAGTTTGACAGCAACTAAAATACAAAGATGGAGAAAAAAACATCAACACTTACAGAATCTGGAAAGATTATTTAGTTAAAAGGTAACTGAAATATATATATTTAAATTTTTCCATTAAATGAATATTTCTGAACACAAACAGCATCAAGGAGCCAATGCCAGCTGTAGTTTAATAAAATCAGCTGCGAAGCATATGGCTGAGCAGCCTCTGCTGTCTCATGGTAGTGCTCCCAGGTAAGACCATTAACACCACTGACTTAAAATCCTCTGACTCATTTAACTTAATGGCTTGGAATAAATGTCCATCATCTTCCTGCAATGCTAAAACCTCATTTGTTATTCCACTGACATTTCTCATCTTTACAGGCAACAGTTACACACTGAATACATATTTTAAACTTCCAGCTCCCTCTACTGTGCAAACGTTAAAAAAAAATAGTGTTTTGATAATTAAAACAACGTAGGAGTAAATAGATTTAGCACAAAAATAATGTAAGGAAATACTTAAAAGTTAATTTCTTATTTCCCTTTCTGTTTAGCAGCTAGGTTTTGAGCTTGTTCTGTACTGATATCCAGGAATCAGGCCTTGTGAACATGATCTTGAACGACCCTAGAGAACAACATCACAGTAGAGGAAGTAGCCATGCCTCACTGTATATTGCTTTTAAAACTCAGTCAGACGCACTGGACTTAAATACTGAAAGAACTTCATGCAGCATTCCCACTGTGTTGGGGCCACATCAATGTGCTTCAATATACATGTTGCACTGGTGAATAGCTGCCTTTATTTACATCACACTAAAATATCAAACCATTGCAGAAAACAGCTCTAAAAACACTTTCAAAGACACAAAATGTTCCAAGTGGAAACAATACTTTACGTTGGTTGATGAATGAAAGTGAGAACTTTAAGAATGAGGATCGGTAGTGACCACATACAAAAGAAGAATGAGATGTGTGATATCACGGGATGTTTTCCAAAGCAGGACACATATTGACAACGAGCACACCTTTTTCCTTCCAAAACATACTCTGCCACTGTGTATGTGGGCCAAGGAGGCATCAAAAGTGCTCTAGTGCCTGCCCAGAGCTTGCGTCGCCTTAAGGGAGAGCCAGGAAGCAGAAGCTCTGAATGGTGCAGCAAGTCTGGAGCCCTTCCAAGCACAGGCTCTTTTGCACAAGCAAGACTCCCTGGGGAAATGGAGCCAAGGGAAAAGCAGAGTTCACTGCCATTCCAAGCTTGCAGTGGGCAAGACAGACAGAGAGAGCTACAAAATATCAAACCACTGCAGAAAACAAAAAGAAACAAACAAACAAAAAAAATAAAACTTTTATTAAGCATCAATGAAGATTATAGTTCTGCTTCATTAGGAGCAGGTTAGCTAGTACTCAAAATAAAAATGAAAATAATGAGAAGCATAACCAAGGTTGTCTTTCAGTCTGTAAAAACTCCTACAATGAACAAGCTATAAGAATTAAAACCAATGCTGTATGGTGGATATCAGGCTCAAGAGAAACCTTTAGCCCAGTGAAGAAGGGGGTGGAAACAGAAAAGACAGAGGCTTAGTGCATCATTTCCCACAGTTCACAGCAGAAGTATTAGGAGAAAAAAAAACTACTTCTGACTGGAAGATTGAAAAGGAAAAAAAAAAAGAAAACTACCATCTTCTTTCATTATTAATTCCAAGAGCTGACATATGTTTTTAGATGTGCGAAAAAATATTCTCAGTTCTGGAAATTAAAATACTTTCAAGTTGGGAAAAAGGTACAGATTTACTTATCTTTCACAGAGAGAAAAATAATCCACCTTTGCTCTGGACAGACAGTTGTAGCATGGAGTCTGTATATAATAAATAAATGGACTCAGCTCCTTGATGAGATGGCAGTCAAAGAGGTTTATTCAAACTCGGCGCTCCTTCTTATCCCTTAAAACCATGTGACCTTGTGACCAATGGGGTTATCTATTTCGGCGCATGTCCCTTGGGATTCCCCGCCCTCGGTGCATCCTCTGCACCCTGGACACACCTCCTACAGACAGTGGTGCTCCACTTACAATCTTGTGATGTTCCATAAAGTTTCCACATTCTACCTCGAGATTAAAATTATGTTTAGGATTTCTTTGTAAAAATTTCTTGGGTAAAATTGATCAATATCAGTACAGCGAACTATCTTTAACCTCAGAACCTGGAAGAATGACAGAGAAGGTCATGCTGGCTAAGGAAAAACAAGAGAAGGAATCTTCACAAGGGAAGGAGCCTTCACTGGACAAGCAGGCTTCAACAAGTGACTCTGGCATCAGAGGGTAACAAGGTTCTACAGGAGAGGAGGCTCATCGCAGGAGGGAGGCTTCACAGATACTCACCCAAAACATGGGAAGGAGGCTTCACAGGTGCACTCTGCCAACACAGAGGGACTCCGGCATCACAGACAACAGATGCTTCAAACAGGGACTCAGGCACCACAGCACAAGGAGGCTTGCAAGGGGAAGGAGGCTCCCGCAGGGAATGGAGGCTGCTTACAGGAAGGAACCTCCAAAGGTGGACAAAGGCTTTTCCCCAGAAGGAGGCTTCACAGATGGACTCTAGCATCACAAAGAGACTCTGAATCACAGAGTCTTTTCAGGGGGACTCTGGGATGACTGCAGAATAAGGCTTCACATGTGGAGGAAGATGCTCAAGAGGGTAAGTAGGCTCCATAGAT